GCCACACACCCTGGTAGTAATAACCAGAGGGCCCAGACTCCACGCTGCTGCTACTCACCTGTGACTGACCTGAGAAGAAGGTTATAAAAAAGTAAGTTTTTAACTTGAAAGAATGAAATAAAATCAAAATACTCCGTAGCACACCTACTTGTAGTTTAAATATAGAAATCATATAGTATTCCTTTCACAATTAACACAAAGGGTAATTATATTCAATTAAATCTGAGCCATATTATATTCTGTATATATTTTTTTCAATTTCAGTAAATGGTTTTATTTAAATGACATGTTTCAGTGAGATAAATGTATTATATCAATGTCTTATTAGCCTAATTAATGCCTGGTTGGCTAAAGTAAGAATTAGCCAGTTGCACTTTGAAAATTAAAGTAATGCTGAGGATAACTAAAATATTACTATTACTACCGTGATCTACCTGAATATCCTCTGCCATCAACATTGAAACACAAGAAAGGACGAACAAGCTGTGCCTGCTCCGTGCTGAGACACTTGAAAGCAGCGGCACTTACACAGACAGCCAGCAGCAGTGCATACAGGGGAGAAACAGAAACTAAAGTATCAATCTTATTATACTCGTACAAACGTTGGTATCAATATTTGGATCGATCTGCCCACCACCACCAAGATTACCAGCTGTGTGCCTGAGTCAGAATCTCTCAAACTATCAGAGTCAAATTCTAAATATAGTGAATATGAATATGGCTCAGTTACATTTACTTGAGTACATTTTTTGAAAAAAAGAAGAAGAAACTTTTAGGAGTAGCTTTACTACACAGTACTTTTTACTTTTACTTGAGTAATATTATTATGAAGTATTGCTACTCTTACTGGCTACTCTACTCAGTATGAGTAACTTCAGTTAATAAACACTAAACACATCTTGACCAAAATGTATGAGACACAGACACAAACCTACAGGTTATGTCAAAGTGAGACTTCTTGTCACAACTGCGGTGGCAGACGTGTTGAGGTTGTGAGAGAGGACCGAAACGCTGGCACTAGGTTGGATGCGAGTGAGCTTTATCAATAAAGTTGGTGATACAAACAGAAACGTAGAATGCATGAACAGAACTTAAGGATTACTTATACTGGAAAAACTAACAAAACAGCCTGGATAAACAGAGGGTGACAATTCAGGGAGATGACTCAGGGAAGAAATACAGACAGATCAGTGACAAATAGGAGAAAACACAGGGCTTATATACTCACACGGGCAATCAGGGAATCGGAGACAGGAGGGGAACGCAGCTGGGAGAAATCAGAGCTGATGAGAAAGGGGAAACGTAAACTGAACACATTGACATAAGACGCAGACCTTCACAATAAAACAGGAAATACACAGAGACGCAGACCGGAGGGGAAAGAAAACACTGAGGAGCACGAGGGAAAGCACAAACATGATGGGCTGGGGAAACAAGGAATAAAACACAAGAAGGGGGAAACCCAATAAACTAAACTGAACAACTTAGGACCGGTAGAAGAACTCCAAGAATAACAAATGAACTTAACATGATACAGAAACACAAGGAAACAAAGAACGCTGGGTCAAAATGACCTAGGACCAAGACTCTTCTTGTTTGTACATAAGGTTTGTTGCTGCTGAGACTGTTGTGTCAGATCAGATGTTATGATCAGTTACTCAGTCCTCAAGTAGCCTTTTTTACTAAATACTTTTTTACTCTTACTTGAGTAATTTGTTGGACAACTACGTTTTACTTATGCTTCTGTGATGTTAAGGTAATGCTACTATTACTTGAGTAGAATTTTTGGCTACTCTACACACCTCTGGCTATAAAGATTAAATCTGACTGTCTCAGCTCCCAAACAGACAAAAAACAAACTAAAAACCAGCAACAAACAACTTAAACATAAA